GAATTAATTGAATTTGCTTGTGTGTGTTTTGTTTTTTTTAATCTCTCCTTTATAGGTTGTTTGTTTTGTGTGTGTGTGTGTGTGTGTGTGTGTGTGTGTGTGTGTGTGTGTGTGTGTGTGTGTGTGTTTGTTTTAAGATTTTAGGAAATTGTTGAGGGAGCGTTGTTTCACGCCTGTAGATTTAATGGAGCTCTGAGGCTGTTTGATTATGCATTAGCCCGCACATTGGAGACTCCAGAGATACTGTTATATAACACAGCTCTATATGGAAAGACATATTGCTGTGTGTATGTGTGTGTGTGTGTGTGTGTCTGTTTACATGTACACTTCAATGGCTAGTGTGATGTAATGCCGTGATGCATTTTTTTGTAATTGATGTTTTGATGTCTCATTTTGTTTTTAAAATCAAGCCATCAGTCCTTGCTTTTATCTTTTCTGAGCTGCAGGCAAAGCTAATTGTGTTTAAAACAATCTTGTCAACATACAAACTAACAAACCTGACCTCCTCAGAAAGAAACGCTATTGGTAAGCAGAGCTTTTGTTTCTGTAATGGGCTCAAGAGGGCACCATTGTAGAGCCGGTGTTTGGGCATGATAATGGCAGGAGAAAAATAAAGATGGAAGATAATCAGTTGTTAAACTACCAATGTGGACAATACAGCTACAATACTGAGAAAAAAGTGCTGAGTCACCCCTCATTTCTTTATATTTTATCGGGAAAATGAAAAATAGGTGCAGTGATTTGTTGAAGCATGCAAAAATAATGCAAATACATTATATAATGCAAAAACAGAGTTTTTACACTTCTAACAAGCTTGAAAGTCAATATTTGGTGTGACCACCTTTATTATTCAACACAGCCTGAAATCTCTTTGACAAGCTGTCTTGTTATATCTCTAAGTAGTCTTCAGGAATAGTTCTTGGGGCTTCTTGAAGGACATTCAAAGCTCTTCTTTGGATGTTGCTGCCTTTTATTCTGCTCTCTGCCAAGATCCCACACTGCTTCAGTAATGTTGAGGTCTGGACTCTGTAGAAAGACGAATCCATGGCTGATAGTGTTGCTTTGTGTGTTTTTCTCTCCAGGTATGCCTTTACTGCATTAGAAGTGTGTTTGAAATCATTGTCACGCTAAAAAAAGAAGACTCCACTATGTTTTACTGATACCTGTAGACTGTTGTACCGCTCTCCTGATCTCTTGGTTCAAACCAAGTAGTTAAGATCTGTTTTTGATTTTTAGTTAGTCAAGTTCTTGTGCAGTTTGACATACCTTGGCTATTTCTCCCTGTTTCCCTTCCACTGAGATCATTTCTGATGAGACCACAGCAAACAGTAGATGGGTCAACTGAAAGGCCAGATGCATCTCTCAGGTCCTGTCTGGATCTGGCTTGTTTTCTATTCCTTAAAGACATGACTTTCAGATACTGTTCATCTGCTATTAATACATTTTTATATACCGCCACTTCTTTTTGTAAGATATGACACATTTTGAGATAATAGCTCCTTCACATCTGCCTTCATGTCGGTAATTTTCATTGATTCAACTAAAGAAATGGGGTCATATTATGTTTTGTTTTATTTTTTTGTTTTTTGTGACAGGCTGTCTTATGTTATGGTTGAATGGTTCTTAGATTAGTGTTAAGTTGCTTAACAATTGAAAGACAATCCTCTGAAAATGGTCAGAGACAAGGACCGGACTGAAAGTGATTGAAAAAGGTATTTTCAAAGACCTGCAGAGAACCTGAGGCAAAATATCACAATAGGGTGGCAGACAGTACAGTAATTGTAGTGGTGCATTGCAAACTTTTAAACGTGATCAATTTTAAACTCGTGACACATCTTTTCACTTGTATAGGCTGTTTTAATCAATTGAATCTGTTTGATGTTTGAGTTTAAGTCAACAAAAATGAATTATTAGTCTGATAATCAAGCCTTCTATTCTTCCCCAGCACTGGCTAAAAATAATTACACACCTTTATGGAATGCAATTCTTTTGCGTACAACCTTGTACGCAGTGTACAATGTGGTGTTCATACTTTACACTATAAAACAAAAATCAAAGTAGTTTTGAAAGCATGCGGAAAATGCAGCCGCTAAAAGTGAAAGTTTCATTTTCACTCTGAGAAGTCACTCTCAGCTTAAACCCTGCCCAAACATGCGGTAAATATAAACATGTCAGTTACTTTGCCTGTTTAAACCAGTTTTATGAAGGCATGCATGTATAAAGTAGGTGTTGTACTTAATCAGCTTTGTTCAGCACACACCAACCAGCCAATTCTAACATTTAGTGACATCATGAAGGATTCCCTTACTTTTAATTCAATGCTAATTCCTTTGTACTGTTCACAAGGAAAATTTGAATGTAGGATTCTTGCATGTAACTTTTACTTAAACAAAAACAATTTGCTAACCTGCATTTTTTTTATTGTCACACACATCAATGATGATAATGATTTAGTAAGACTGAAAGGTATTTGGTGCTTGATTTAGCCACAAAGTAAAATCACTCTCCTTTATTATAAGTGTTAACTCAAAATATGCACTCAGTCATACGCTCTTGCGGGAGCAAATGTCCCCTGTGATCTGGACTGATGCTTGTGGTGAGGCGCGGGTGTCATTAACTGTGAACTGAATTAGTCTTGATTTTTTGCTTAGGACCAGGAGTAAACTTGTTTATCTTCTCTTGTTCGACCGGCTTGCTGAGTGTACGGGGGAGTCTGGGAAACTGCTAACAAGACAACGTATTTGACTGACAAGAGAGATAAAAGTCCCCTGTCACAGAGGTCCCAGATGGTGCAATTTAAATAGTAGGTGGAGGGATGATCAGAGAAGAAATACAAGGGGGTTGCTTTGGGCTGCTGAGGTTAAACTAAGAGGTACAAAGCAGAAAAAGGTGAAAAAATTGGGTTTAAAATGACCATCATTCTCAGATTAATAATTAATTCTATGAATCTTGTTAATCTAGGATGTGAACACATGGAAAAAGCAGCAAAAATGCAATTTTTGATTTTTAAAATAAAAGATCCCACAAAAAATGGTTGTGGCACAGTCTCCTTTGACTTAGACTGTGTGGGAGGAAGTAGTTTCTACATTTCAGACTGAATGTTGAATGTGAGACTGGATGGCTCCGCTTTGTCTTCTCAGCTCAACTTTCACCTCTGACTTGCAGGGACACATTTCTTTCTTTGTTGGCAGTGTTGTGGCTGATAACTAAAGTTGAAAAGCTGCACAGTCTACATAAAACTGAACAAAAACAGAGGGACGCTCAGGGGAGGAATCACAGTTAAGGAATGGCAGCTGTTTATTTTAGCCTATGACCCTGTGGTTTGTGTGTGTGTGTCTCTTTGGGTCTATTTGGTTGTCCCATAACACCAAAGCATGTCTGTACTGCGGGCAGAAGCTGGTGCTTATCTCATAATTCATATTCAGGCTGATTTGTGTGCAGGCTGTTAAGTAACTCAGAAATTATGACAAAAAAACTAATATTATACTAATAGTCAGGTCAGGTTGTTTCTAATACATATCTTAATGCAGATAAAATGAAAATGCAGAAAAGACAGATACTTTTATCTGTGGGGTTTCTTTGATTGGTTGGTCAGAATTAAAGATTAAATACAGAATAAAAGTCTCCTGTTTGTGCATGTGTGTGTTCATGTGAGGAAGAGTGAATGAGTCTGTTTTTAATAGTTGGCTGTTGTACTGCCTTAGGGGACGGCACGCCTCTCTAACTGACTTTGGCACCGAGCCTCACTGTGCCTGTTTGCCAGCCGTTAACTATTTCCTTGCTCTTTGTTTTGTCTCCAGACACTAGCTTGTGTGATGTATTTATTTGACCTTTGACCTTGATGGCATTTGAAGTCTCCTTTGTTTGTGGTGATTGTGGAGATTCAAGAAAGACAGATTACAAAATTCAAGGAAGGAAAATTCTCATTTCCTGTTAGCAGCCAGTGGCCGGTGTAGCTTCAAGCAGACGGCCTGAAGCAGGGATGAGAAGAGGGCTACAGAGTTGTGGTAACGTCACTTCTTTCTAAAGCCACATGCCTTACGTATATATTTTTTCATTTTCAACAAAGACATCACTTCCTGTGAATAAAAAGCATCACCCTCTGCACAACACCATCTCGCTTTATCCAGCATTTTTCACAATGCGTTTTCCCACTCCACTGAACCTGCAAACAGTGTTTAATGTGTAAAGTGGGTTTAGTGTTTTCCCATAAGAGAGAGTTTTAATCATCCTAATTAAACCTGTGTTGCAGTCTTTACATGGAGGGCGTGAAAGTTTTGTTTTCACACCTACATGCGCAAAATCCCGGGATGATTCACCAAGTGAAGCTGATGTCATGACGATGGCATACACAGCAGGAAGTCACCGGAGGATATGGAGCTCCCAAGAGATGTTTACCACCTTACCTGCAGAGAGAAGATTGAGTGAGGAGTAAAGAAAGATTACACTTTTTTAATAAAGAATATTTACTTGAATAATTCATGTAGTGTAAGGGTTTTGAAAAAAGACCCTGCACATTATTTGCGAGGCTTTGACTTTAAAAATTTCCATTTACATATTGAGGAAGACTTTTAGTAATGTGAGTTAGGATTAAAGGATTAGCATTAAAGAACCACATAATTAGGGTTAAACTAAAACAGTGCAGTGTATTCCCTGTGAGATTTGTTTTTGGATAAGGGGCTGGGATGTCATTTGCGTTTTGACATTTGGCGTAATTCCTGGTCCCTTTCCAGAATTAGATCAAGGAAGTTTTACCTTCAACAGTAACAGTAGCCTACTTATATCATAATGTTGTAACACTTCCGTGTATAGCTGTCATTGTTTTCTTTTTTTTCATGAGTGTACATAAATATGCATTTGCCAGGCTTTATTTGACAGATTTAAAACCACATGACAATCACACCCCACAGTTGTCTCTGAAATGTGTGTACTAATCAGCAGCTGATTGTTTCAAACATAATTTTAGGCTACTGTGCTTCCTGTTTGTGTTTTCACCCACCCAAACACCCTACCCCCCACCCCTCCAAGCTTTGTTAATGGGTGTGTCTGTCCTCAGGAATCCTACACCATTAACAATTGAGGTTACTGTAACTGGCTAAACAGCTTCGACCAGTGAGCGCAGGGTATCTGACACACCAACACGCAGTGTTCCGGCTATCCAAAGCAGTAAACAGATGCCATTCTTTAATGGTCTACTGCTACGCGAGAGGGAAAAAAGGATGAAACAAGAGTCAGGAAGCAGGTGTGTGAGAGAGGACGCAAGAAAGAAATCATTTTTCTCATTGCCAAAAATGCCTCTGTGAGGGAAGGTGAGTAGGAGAGAGGAAAAAGAGAGGAAGAAAATGCGAGGGAGTGGAGGGGTAAAAGAACCACCCAGATTTAACAAACCACCCAATCAAGCTGCGTTCTTGGAATTGGCTCCCTCCCCTTTTTTCACCACCTGAGAGTGAAGAAACACAGCTGTGCCTCAGAGGGCTGAAAAAGACAGAAGGAGAAACGCTCTGAGAGCAGGTGAGAGTTGAAGTGGGGCACGCAAAGAGAAGAAAGGTTTTATAGAAAATCTGCTTTCAAATAAAATAAGATTTTTTTAAAAAAAAATGTTTTCAAAATCTTAAACAACTGTGAGAAAGCCTCGAGAGGAAGACCTGAACTCTCAGGAGAACTGTGTAACAACAAAGCGATGAGCTCACTGTCTCGGGATTGAATGAACACAACATAAAGAGAATAAACCCTGAAAGGAAACTGGATACCAAAATGTGGGGAAAAAGGTGAAGAGTGAAAATGGACTGAAGGGCCTTTTTAAGTATTTTTCCTTCCTCTGGGACAAGGATTTTTTTTATTTTATTTTGAGTCTTCTGTGGAACAATGTAAAGTTGTCTTTCTTCCTCTGAGGAGGGCTACATTTTGACAATATTCTACGAGGTGTCGGTGAGCTCCTGTGGAGACTGGCTAATGAGCAAATAGGGGAGACATGTCTCTAGAAGATGTCAAAAGCACCACCAGCCTTGGGGCTGAAAGCAGTGCTTCAGATCATTGCAATGGCCACTGTCTGAACCAACATCAGGATCACGGGGTGAACCAAAGTGAAGGCCAGGATGAGATCGTTCTGGACCGTATTGCCTCTCTGTCAGTGGATAAGTTTGATCCCAGTGACTTCACAGGGAGGTTTTCAAAGATCCAGTTGAGGTCCAGAAAGAGAAGAGGGATCATTAATAGAGGTATGTGGAGACTGGCTCTACAGATTTTGTGTGTTTTGGGGTTTTTTTTGTTTTCTTCTTCTGAAGAGCACAAATGTGAATGAACACAAGATGAGTCAACACAGAGAGGGGGCAATGAGATACATGTTTTGTAATATTCCCAGGAAGTTTGAATGTGATTGCTTATTTGTCATGACCTGAGGAGTTAACTTTAAGGGTGGAAATGGCAGAAAGACAGGTCGAACATCCAGCTGAAAAAATGATCCTCCGCTCGCCAGCTGGAATGTGGGTGTGTGCGGTTTTTAGCCGCTTTGAGATTTTAAATAACTCAGATCTTCTGCTACCTGTTTAGACCCCGTCTGCCTCTTTATGTACACCACTGCAAAGCTCGTCTTTGTTGTCACTTGGAAACTAGACTCGACAGGTGTATTTGTTGTGGGTTTTGAAGACCCTGTGAAAACTGATACCCTCTGTGTCTTTAGAAAATACCACAAGGTTACTCCACTGATCATGAATCCAGAAAGAGGCATGCCATTTCTGGCCTCAGGATTGTTGTTTTCCTCAAACCACTTGTTCTCTCTCAGCTTACCTTAAACTCTGTGAATTGTATGTCTATACACTTCCAACATTTTAGGGAGTCTTTACAGGTACACTTCGGATCAGAGTATTGTTTAAATTTTGTAATAATGTATCAGTTTTTAGATTTATTAAGTCAAGTAATACTGAATGGCATTTGAAGGAAGATCCAATTGAAGGCACTTTAGGATAAGAAAAGCAGAATGCTTATTTTGTGTCTCTGATTGGACTTGAAAAAAGATGGAAACATAGGTGCATGTTGAAGAGTGAAAAGGGGGAATTTTGGTGTGAGGTAGTGTCTGTGCAACAAAGCAGCACCTGCACAAACATGCCTTTATTGAGACTTCTCAATAAATGAGCTTGTAGAGTGCAAATGTCAAAGAAATGCGGTGAAATGTAAGATTATAGAAGCCTCTGCTGCTGAGATAATGTACATGTGTTAGTCTTTGATGGTACACAAATGTGTTCTCACTAGAGTTATCTGACCCAGCTGTGTCAAGGACACACTACTGTGTGAGCCCCGAGCCTCAAACAGCCTCTCTGTGGTCGTTTGAAGCAATTTATTTGCAATCTGTGTTTATGCGTGAGAGTGTGCTCATGTGCTGTGTTATGCTGGTTCGGTTAGCATGACAAAAACACATCACATTAACAGATGTCTGACACATGTTGACTTGTTTACTATGGTTTTTGTGATTGTGTCAATTTGATTTATGAAGCTGAAATGAGTAATACAATCACAGATGAATAGACATTTATGCTAGAAGTTCATTCCTTGATTGAAATGTAATATTAAACATCCACAGCTCCAACATCTCCATCATTAGGTCGTGAATGATAATGCTCCAGTGAAACGATGTCTGTCTGTGCTAGACACAATGTATCAAACAGTCTCTGTTTGACTGATGAAATTGTGTAATCTCACTGGGATTACATTTCAAGTGTGTGTCTTTGATTCAAAGATGTTGTTTAAAGGACATACCATTCGCTCCCTCTATTGTTATTGTAAATTGTTAAAGTCACAACTGTTAATTTTAATTTAAGAGAAACAATAAATACTTGATTTATCTCAAAAGTTGGCAAATTAGTGTGATACTAAAAAAGTTTTTTAAAAAGTGATTCAGTTTTGAGGTACGGTGACGATCACATGGTTAACTATGACTGTGACTCTGTGCCTGTTATAAACTTTCTCCTCATGCTGAAAGTGAGAAATCGCCTCTTTCTGCATCACTCTCTGTGTTTGTGCTGATGTGGAGGGCAGCTATTTACACCTCTGTACCCATTCTGTGCCACTCAGCAAGTGGGAAGTGTTATATTCATGTAGTGTAAGACTGTCTCCACCCTCCCTGTGACAGCCACTCAGATAACAACTTTTCTGGTTGAAACATTTTCACTGTCATATTAGATAGTTGACACATGGCAAATATTGGCATGAACAGCTCTGATCTTTCCAGTCTAGAAGAGGTGACGTCAGATCATCATCATCATCATTTATTCCTTTACTTTAAAAGCAAAACAATAAAAAAATAAAAGCCCCAGCAGTGAAAGCTGTTCTGGAGTTTACTCTTGTTTGCTTCCCTTCTCTTATCACTTCTGAGCTTGGCTTCTGTCTCTCATTAGCCACTGTTTGCTGTCTGACTAGAATATATGTAACTCCACACATGATTTTCTTCTTCTCTTCTACTCAGGGCAGGGTTGGGGATACATTGACATGCTCCACCATCTCATGATACAGAATGGTTTTCCACAAAAGGCCCCTTCGTACTTTCAAAAGCTGAAAGGGTGGTGTTGTTTCTTCACATTCTGTTGATAGCATTAGTTCAATCTGAAGCCTGTAAACGGTTTTGATTTAGAATGAGTAGCATTAATGGAGATGACTCAGCTACTTATCTTGCAGATAGTCTGTTTAGCGTTGCTGGTTTACACACTGCACATGATTTAAGCTCCACCTTTGATTGTTTAGATGGAGTGGCCCCCTAGTTAGCAACCATCATTAGCAGTGGAGTCTTTTGGGCTAAGCTTTGTAGAAGTGTGCAGTGGCTCGATGTTTCCGAGGCTTGCATACCTAGCTAGCATCCAAGGTAGCATACCTTGATGTGGATAACGTCCTCACACCTCCTCGCTAATGTATTGTTTTATAACCATCTTATAACTGCCACATTTTCAGAACAACAGGTTTGCATTATCTGATGCTGAGCAGCCTCATGCTTATTGATTGTATCACTCATTCATTGCACCACAAAAGGTCAGGTTATTATGTTAGCCTTATAAACAGACGTATAAATACAATAAAAATGAATTGGTGACCCATTATACTTGTAGACCAAGTATAAATGAAATCTTAATTTACGCTTCACATGTATAAGTACCCTGTATATATATGTGTGTGTGTTCATGTGTGTTTGCCTGTGTGAGTAAAGGAGTCACATTCCAACAGCTGGCATGCCCGGGCCCCTGCTCAGAATGTGAGGAATCTCAGCCGCTCCATAGGGGTGTGTTCATCTCTATGTCCATGATTTTTTTCTCTCTCTCTTTCTTATAGGCTCCATATGTGTGTCATTGTAACCCAATGGGAAATATGCCCCCTTTCCCCGTTGTAAGTCCTGAAATTTTATTGATTGTCCTATTGTGCATCTGCGCTGTGCTCCGGCGAACACTCTGCAGGCTTCATTTACATCAGTCAGAGCAGAAAGAGTCAAACGGCAGTACATAACAATTCAAATTTCCCATATATAGCCCCACCACCACCACCAGCCGGCACATGTAACTGTTTAACCTAATGTGGGTCAACAAGCAAACATGCAAACATTTTCATGCAGTCTCATGAGCAAGACTGGATGAGTAAGATAAGAGTGCAGACTTTTAAATATTTAGCTGTCATCTCATCAGTACAGCACTTGGTGCACCAGAAGTCAAGTGGTTGTTATACACAGGATGTTTTGAAAGTTTCAGGAGAACATTTTGAAAATTGCTTCATATCTAATGATTGTCAGTTGGGCTTGATTGGCTTGTATGCAGGTTAACAGACAAAATTGTGATTTGCTTATTCTGTCAGGCCCAGCACCGTGATGGGACAACAGACGTTGCAGACAGGAATAGGCTTTCAGTGCTTCTTTGATATATTTCTCCTCCTGTGGGATTAAACTGTAATTGTCTGTTAATATGAACCAGGCCATCCATGCTTGGCAGCTCTCCTGTGAGCTGCCAAGCTTTGCATAATACTGTATCCTATACACTCTTTACTCTTCCTCTCACTCACATTTTTTTGCTCTCCCTCCCTCGGCCGCTCACATGTCCTGTGGCACTTCCGCTGTTCATCCAGGGAATTGCACAATGACCCTAATTATCCACTTGTACTTCCAAGCTTTTTCAGCCAACCGTAACATCACTGCCACAACTTTGTGCTTAGGCAGACATTTTCAAAGGCTTTTTAAGGTAGAAAGAATTTAGTTTGTACTTAGGTACACTAAAGACTCAGTTAGAAGTTGAACTAAAGCTATGAGATGTGGCAGGTTATTATGAGATGCTAGCAGAGTCCTGACATACAGTGTGTTGGTATTGGCCTGTGTATCTACTTAAAGGAAGACAAAATTAAATATCAGCTGCACTGCTGAGGTAAGGGATGCTTCATCAAGCAAAGCAGATTAAAATCTCTTAAGCTGTGATAAGCAAAGGGAGCCAACTCTTTGCTTCGATTTGACTTTTCACACCATGACTCTGTATCTTCTCACTACACACTCAAGACAGCAGAGATACCTCGTTTGCAAAAAAAAACAAAGAATCAAGCTCACATTCGCCACATTAAATATTTATCGTCTGGAAATGATATCCAGCAGCACCAAGGCACCTGAAATGATCACAAAAACATTCACTCAGATGTCGCGCTGTTAATTACGTGATCAAATTTGTAAAGCATGAACATTGCATCTAAATTATTGACAGGTTAATTTCCCATGTGCCACATGAATCATTTCAATTCTGCCAGAGGTGTGAAGCAGTTGTACCAGCTGATAAGTCAGGAATAAGTCAGACTTCATTATCAGTGTCAATGTCTAGGCTGGCTGACAACAACAACACATTTCATTAAAAAAAAAAAACTCTATTCATCTGAATGGTGTAACAAAAAGGTTAAAAAATAACTCTTTTGCTTGATTTAATGAATAAAAAAATCACTGCAAGCCAACTAGTGACAATGATGATGATGAATCATGGAGGGAACATGAATGTCTGCACCCGATGTAACTTGCACATGTATTGAATGGTGTTAAAAATATCCATTTAAAGAAAGAGAAATATATTTTAGTTTTATTTTTGTTTATTTTTTGTCTTCTTCTTCCTTCTGGGATTTGGATACAACAAGAAAAGTATGCATACTATACACAAAAACACACTATTGCCCATTTCTTGTTTTTATACTTAAGATGAATTATTCTTAAATGAAGACATTG